CCGCTCCGCTCCGCACGGCGGGGGCGGCTCCTCGGCCCGGCCCGGCCCGGCCCGCGCGGAGCCCTCGCCCAGGAAGGCGCCGGGGTCCCGGTGTCCCTCGGGGCCCTGCCGGCCGCTTCCACACGAGGCAGTGCCGCCAGCGCTCTCCTTAGCCCTGGMAACGCGTTCCAGAGAGGGGCTGCTCTTCAGGCGGGCGCACCCGCTCCGCAGGCTGCTCCTCGCGCCCAGGCGAGCACAGGGCGCTGCCGCCCCGGCCTGCAGCGCGCCCCGCTGCGGCCCCGGCTCCCCAGCCCTGCGCTTCATTTTCCTTCTTGTCCTGCAGGAGAAGGCCCAGGGAATCGTGCTGAAAGTCCTCACGTCTTTCAGGAGCAGCGAAATAGAACAGGCCGTGAGCATCCTTGACAGGAACGACAGCGACTTGTTAATGAAGTACATTTATAAAGGCTTTGAGCAGCCAACAGAAAACAGCAGTGCAATTCTGCTGCAGTGGCACGAGAAGGTAAGCGCCCCGCGGCGCCGCGCGCTCCGGCTCCGCTCCTGCCGGCGCGGACAGGGCYTCTGTGCTCGAGGCACCCGCTGCGGCGGCTCCTTCCCTGCTCACCTTGCAGCACTGAAGCCGTTACGCCCTCATCTTCCAAGCTCGCTCCCAGCCCGCGGCAGGGTGAGCGCCGAGGCCTCCCCGGGCGCGCAGACCAGGCTGAGCCCCGGAGCTGGCAGAGCCTCCTCCTCGTCCTCAGCGCGTTGGGCGGGCTGCTAAGTGCCCTTAGCAGCAGATGTCCCAGCTGAGCAGCAGGGTAGCAACACCGTTGGGTTTGCACAACAAAGGCCCCCCGGACCAGGGCAGCAGGGTGATGCGCTTTGTGCAGCAGCTCTTGCACGTTGCCGTTCTCTTTTCCTGCAGCGAGGCTGCCGGCCAGCTGTGCTGCCTCCTGCCAGGTGACGGTGGTGAGAAGCGGCTGAGCTCTGCCCCTACGTGGGCTTTCAGAGCAGCACAGGCAGGCGCTTTGTCACTGCAAAGCTGCTCGTTCAGCTACGGCAAGACGGAAACTGTGTTTCTAGAGCAGTGACTCTAGCTGTGAGGAGTTGCCTCTTGCTTTGCAGAATGTTTAGCAGGGGAGGAGAAAATACATCCTCAGGACAGCAAGGAACAGGTTTCCATTGGACTGCTCTTGCTTGTTTCTCATGGAGACACTTTTGGTGTATTGCAGAGGACCAGCCCAGTTATAAAATCACTCCCTGTTCTGCCCTGACTGGAAGGAGTTAGCGCTCAGAGCCCATGGGCACACACAGAGCGTCCCCCCCCACCGGGGGCTTTGGAAGGAACGGGGCAGGGGTGAAGCAGGGTGGCTGCTGTTCGGAAACGCGGCCTTCCTGGTGCTGTGGAAGGCGACCTGCTCAGCCTGCTCGGGGGCAGCGCCCGCCCTGCAGCAACGCTCTGGCTTTGCCACGGCCTGGCTAGTGCCGCCTTGGCAGAGGCTCCCAACGCAGGGCCCTTCGCACCGTGCACGTTCAAGGCGGGACGGGGGGCAAACGCTTCTCACGAGCACGTGAGGAGGTTGGAACAAGAAAGGAGTTCCGTTCACTGGTCCCAAGCAGCCTTGGTAACTCTCCTCCCGAGTCATCTAGAGAACATGCAGCAGGAAGGAATTGCTGTGTGAACGCAGGGCCTGTTACCACAGAAAGCTAAAGGCAGCAGCATGCAGGGTGCCGCAGGTCGTTCACTGTATTTCCAGTTCTGTTGCTAGTGATCAACATAAAAATGCTCTGTGGTCTTGGCTTGGTGTAAGTGAACTGATACCTACATCATGCTTTGTGTGATGGAGCGGCTGTACCAAGAGAGCAACTGACGTCTCACAGGCTGTCTTACCAGGGAAACGTGACACCACAAGATCCACTTGGTTTAGCGCCTGTTTAAAATGACTTAAACATCAGCATGCACTAGAGAAAATAATAGTTTTTTCCTAACAAACTCTTTTCAAAACATGACAGCAAAAAAAGTGTAAAATGAGAAGAAAAGCCCAAGATGCCTATGTACAACAAAAAATGTTTTTACACAAGAACTGTGAATGTCTCTGTTACTACCCCCAAACTGTTTGTTCTTCTAAGATGCCTTTGCCGTGACTGTATCTAACACCCATCTCCTTTTCCCATCCTCACAGGCATTAGCAGTAGGCGGCCCAGGTTCCATAGTAAGAGTTCTTACGTCAAGAAAGACTGTTTAAAATGCTATTAACTTGAACCAAGATGACGATCAGTTTTGGACCTAGAAGGAGGAATTAGCTGGAGTGACACTGGTCCATCAGTAGCGAGATTGCTGTCTGCTGAAATAGTGTGGAGACCTCTTCTTGGACTGCTTTTAGCTGCAAAGGTGGGGAAGAGGACACGTCATTCCTGTATGCACTCCGATAATCATTACAGCAACCAAGACATTTATCCTGATCCCCTCTTCTTTAAAAGGCAGAGAAAAGGTGAATTCCTGCCAGCTATTACTGTAGGTGAAGAGGTTCTTTCAGATGCTGCTTTATCAAAGTGCGGTGATACAAGATCTTGTGTGTACTGCTTATTTAAGAGGTAGCCGTGTCTTTGGCCGATGCAAGATTGGGGCTGTGTAAAGTGGGGAGAAGTGTTGAGGACAAGGATACTGTGCATATGGTCAAAGTAGCTGGATGGTGGGGCTGGTTTCATGTAAAGTGCCTGCTGCATTAATAAAATTCTTGGATCACCTGAGTTAAGTAGTTTATTTTTAGCTAAACCTTAAGTCTACTGTTGATTCAAAAGCAAACCAGCACTAAACCACTTCTAAGTTAAGAGCCCACCTCTGCTTGAGTGCTCTTCAGCTCCTTATAGGAGTCATCCTCGAATGTAAATACACTGGCTCTAGGAAATGAATCAAGTGTTACTGCTCACTGCACCTTAGAAGTCTTTGATATAGTGCAGAATTAGTCATGATTTGATTTTATGCTCTTGTCCATGCTAGGAAGTCAAGAAGATAGTTCAAAACTTACTAACCTATTTATGTACTAGTTTATCCTCATCTCTGAAGGACTAGTTGGCAGCATAGTAAGCAGCTTCCCTTGAGGGAGCGCAGGGGCGCCCTCCTTGATCTGTCCAGAGAGAGGAACACAAGTACCCAAGTCCTCCTTGTTTGCAGCTCAGGTTACAGCACCTAGGCGAGAGTCTTCAGTTTCCGCTGGATCCCTCGGGAGACTCCGTTTGCACCGCGCAGATGGAGCCTGACAGGGCAGCTGCTGGAAGAGACTGGGCCTCGCGCCACAGGCCCGTGTTCTCCGAGCGGAGCACCTCGCAAGGGAGGCTGCTCTACACTCCCGCCTTGTTCTGATCAGCTGCTAAAACTGCAGGAACAACAACCGGGCCAGAGGTGCCTTGAGTAATTCCTGGCCTAATCCCCTAGAGAAATGGAGCCTTAATTAGCTGGCTGACACACCCATTCTTACCCAGACAGGAAGATGGGTTTTGTTTCATTCCTTAAAATTCTCTCCATTTAAATTAGCTATAACATCCCCGTGGAGATAACCAGAACTATAAAAGAGAAAGAAATCAAGATTAGCATTTTAATCAAAAATGTATTGCACCACAAATTTCATAGTGTTTCATAATACAATCCATATTTACAGCATAGAGGAAAGAAATCCAATGGCCATAGAAAGGATTATGTATATCATCGTTTTTTTACAAGGAAAAAGTGCATTAGCGTTTTAGTATATGCATACACACCATTCTTGCTCTGATAAAGAAAATTCAACACTTACTTAACTAATTTATTGTAAGTTGATCCTGTAAGAACTTTGGGCTCTTACTTTGAAATTGTGTTAGTATATAAATATTCTGAGATTTATGTGTTATTGTTTCTTCTAGGTCCTCTCTACTGCTTTCTTTACTGTTCAGCAGTAACCTTTCAAGCCAGGATCAACTTAAACCGATTAGTCACTGAGCAGCATCAGCAAGAGCGGATGAAACCCCATCCCTTGGTCTCGGGCCCCACAGAGGTAGGGCAGGGCCAAGGGGCCGTTCCAAAGAAAAAGACCATGGGGCACAAAGTCTGGGCCCTTCCCAGAACCCATGGGTTATCCTGCCCTGCTTGGTTTCAGTATAGGAGCACTTCATGCAAATGATTGTCTGGTTTCACGTTAAATCAGGGTTCCCATACCTTCCCTATCCTATGCAATTAAGTGCTGTGAATCAAGTTTCTAGAGACTGTTTGACAAGCTTCAGTATACTGAAAACTCCTGTCATCTTTTTTTCCTTCAATTTATAAATAAATATAGCCTGGTTACAAACTGAGGAGTGTCACTTCTGTCACAGCAAGGGTAAGAGCATTCTGAGCACCTGTGCCTGGCTGCTTAACAGACTGTGGTGAGGGGAGCTGAGAGGTGCCGTGCAGGAGGCCCCGCTGCCCCTAGACACTGCATCTCTGTCACCAGCAGGGTCCCTCAGACCTCCGGCAGCAAAGCTACGTTAAAACCACAAACAGGGACTGTATCTCCACTGGAGCACAGGCTGACTTAGGGATATTTCATAAAAATGTTTCCAGAGTGTTACTAGAACTGGATGTCATGCATTGCTTTTTTCTGTGTGGGGGGTTTTTTTTGAAAATATATCCCATTTTTAAGAAGTCAGAGTGACTGCTGCTTCCCATTTTCATCTGTTTCTATGGTTAGTTGCTAAGGGCAAAATTCTGCTCACAGTCCTTCAGGCCAGTCCCAGCTTGGTCCCCTTTTCCTAAGGTAGAAAAAAGCAGGCTACTAGAGCCAAGATCCATGGAATATCAGTTCAATTTTGCTCTCAGGAAAACCAGCCAAACAAGAACTCCTAGGTAGTGTTCCTTTTACCCTGTAGTTTGGACACAGTTATTAGTCCTATTAGTCTACTACATGTCCCTAACAACTCTTCGAAGCATCAGTATCTGAGGTACATAAAACCACAACTAGAGAGGCAGATGCTGGTCACGAAAATCTGTTGCTAGCAAACTTGCACAGGAAAAAAAAAGTGTTTAGTACCAATATTYTCCACCTTTGTTACTATTTTTTTTTAAATAAAAGGTATTTTCAGTGTGCATTTACAATGTGGAATTCAGCTTTAAAAATTTAAAACGGTTTACTATCCCCTCTTCCCCCTGTTAACAACCTATGATACAGGCTAGTAGATTAAGTTTTAAAGGCGACTGAGTATTAGGTACTATAATTAAGACCATTTTAAATATTATTTTTCTTTAAGAAAAGTAAAATCAGACAACTCTAAAGTTGTGCTCTCAAATTAAATAATCATCATCAACATGCAGCCTTCAGGACTGCAGGCCAGGATATATGCACCTTAAATTACACAGTGATATGAAAAAAAGAAAATCAAACTACTAGTTATGTCAGTATAACAAGGCAAGGCAGATTTTTTTTCCCTTTTTTTTTTTCCCTCTTTTTTTTTTTTTCCTTTTTGGTTAAAGCTCCTGCTCCTTTCTTTGAAAGGCTTTTCAAACTGTCAGAAACTGAATACAGTCCTGCCCACATTCTTTTCATTGCTTACTTTTCACAGCGAGACAAGGAAGCTTTACTGTACCTAGAGTTACTCAACTCTGGCATTTCATAACAGGAGTTGGAATCACCATCATAACAGATGCAAGTGTTAGAAGCTTGAACTGCCAGCACCAGTGTTAGTGAGGTCAACATTACCCTTTGGTGCCAAGAAACAAACCGAAGAGCACAAGGAGCTGACTTCATTATGAGACCATCGAGACGACAGTCCCTGGATCCAACCCAGGAGAGGTGTTTCAGTCTGTGGTGAAAATTCTCCTTGCACAGTATTACTTTTGTAAACAGTATCAAAGTTCTTGTACAAAATACTGCAATGACAGTGATTAAGACACACCTGAATTAGGGTGTTGAGTGTTCTTTTCACAGAAAATAAGTGGCTAGATGCTGACTGCCAGTTTTCAGGTTCCCTTAAGACCATGGTGTCCTTGGGCTCGAGATAGATGGCCGGATACTGCCTCTAGGAGATGGCTTTGATCCAAACCACGACATCTAGGATGGGAAATCACAATATACATTAGGCTAGTTTCCCACTTTTAGAGCAGCTGAAGATTTGAAGAATGATGTAGTACACATGTATCTCCCCATCACGTGATGGAAGCAACTATTTCTAAAACACATAACACTGCATAATGTAGACTAAAAAGACTGAAGAACTGAACACAGTTTCATACAAATGTGGAACAGCATCCTGCTTCTGTAAGTGAAGAATACTGAAGACTATAACATTTATAATATTCCTTCAACATAATTGGTCAACATAATTTAATCGAAGTACCCATAGCCAATTTAATAGGAGAGTATCCTGAGYRAGATGGCAAAGAATTTCCCTCTCTTTCACTCACTGTATACTGAACACGTTTAACTTACTGAGCTGAAGCAGCACTCACTGATAAACACACACCAACAACCACCTATACAGGGGCATGTGAAAGATCTTGTTTTATGCAACGGAAAAGTAGAAACATATCACATGTCTTAAGGCCAATATCAAATTACAGAACCAAGAATCTAGTGTCTTACTCTTAAACACAGACTGTCCTGAAAAGAGCTTCCAGCTACACACTCGGACTTCAGTCCACTAGGCAACACTGTGCTGCTTTTCTGAAGAACTGGAAAATTAAACTACCCTCTATTTACCTCACTGAAATAGACAATTTCCAACATGCATACATGTGACCAGGGCACACTTAAACACCAAATGGTATCGTGGTTAAAGTTTGAGGGGGAAAAAACAAAAAACACCTTTATACAATTTCCCAGCATCTTAGAACTTTTGTTCCTTTTCCTCTGAGTTTTACAAGTAGAACAGAATCCTTACCTTGTATTCCAAGGTTTCTTTAAGCATATTTTCTTCCTCTTGTGAAAAATTTAGTAACACAGAGACAGCTTTAATTAGATGGAATGCCTGAAAGAAACCAYGGTAGTTAGTTGGTTAAGATGCTCTTGCTCTGTATACTCTAGGTTATAGTGCAGTACAGATTTTCTGTAGTTTCAGTCACAGGCTTTTTAGTCACAACTATAAAACACAGCTGTTTTGTTTCACTTCCCTGAAATCAACTTCTTCCTAATGGCAGAAATCAAACAGAAGTGCCCTACTTAGAACGTGTTATAACTACATTTAATTACATGTATCTGCTGGGTAGTAGGTGGCAGCTTCTAGAGGAAGGCAGCCTAGGAAGAGCAGTTAGCATAGCATACATCTTTACCTCCGATTCCCGGCAGGACATGAATTTTAGTACAACATGTTTAAGGTATTCAAAGTTTATCTCCCTTGAGTCATTTAAATCAGAGTTGTTTGTGACAGTCACAGAAGCATTAGGCACTTCAGAATTTGTTTTTTCACGTACTTCAGGTCCCTCACCGTCAGGCTTTATTTTCTAAGAAAAGAAAGAAAGAAAGGGGAAAAAAAAGAATCACACACACAGAAGTATATTGTAGTCTGTGTCAGTTTATCACTGGAAGAGACATCTAATACAAAGGGCCTGTATCCACACAGCTGGTATCAAGAGGAGCAATTCTCATCTATCATGGAATCAATGAAGTGTCTTCTCCTCTTCTCTAGCCTCCAAGGCAGAAGCTAGTTGCCCAAACCAGCATGGAACTTGGTCTAGGATAGAAACTGTCACGTGACAATTCACCCAAACCTGCTCTATGCTCTTTAAATGGGGGCTTTCAGGAATACAATTCTCAAGCTCAGAAAAAAAAAATCATATCAAAATATTTTAAAAGATTTTTTGTTAAGATAGTAGGTTTTTTTTCTCCTTGGAGAGAGATTAAGGAAGAATTTGCCTCAGGACAGACATCACTCCCATGGTAAAACTCAGCTGAGTAGCAGTTAAGTACCATCCATCACCAGTTCTTCTCTCYGTGATTTTTAAATACTCAGTGCTACCAAACACAGGTCTTCTCTGCCTATCGATTCCCCAGCTGCAAAACTGGTAATCAGAGCAACAGTTTTACGACTGTTTCATTCTGTGTTGCATGAACTGGTGATGATGGATACCATCCATTCAATGAATCATTCCAGATCCTTTGATATTTCTTTTCCTATAGTAAAGATTCAAAGATGCTTGCAAACATAAGGAAACTGCAAACACGCCAGGTGAAAAAATTACACTCTAGCTAGCAGTCAGGCTTTCCAAATTACTAGTACAAGTAACAGCGTCAGTAACTGCCACCTGAAGAGACTAAAAAGCGTACACCTTACCAACTCCTTCTGGAGTGTTTTTTTGAGTTCTGTCATTCTCTGTTGTAGCTGCTTTATCATCTGTAAGGAGAACAAACACAGTGTTGTATTTTGGCATCTTGTTTAGACCTATCTTTCTGAGGCTGCAGCCTGGGTAGCACCAATTAGCAGGCTTCCTAATTACAATAGAAAAGACTAATAGCCATTTCTGTTATTTCAGTTTACCTTGTTTTTCTCAGTGATTTGCTGTTCTAGCTCTCGGTTATCTTTTTGAAGCTGGATAATGTCTACAGCTGCCACCTCTCCATTTTGTTCCATCACAGAGTTTTCTGGAGGATGTAAATGTTTATTATTCAAGGCTCTTGCTGATTCCTCTAATTGTGAAGCCTACAAAAACAAGAGAGTGAATTGCAGAGGTATCATGGCATTTGCAGACCATGAACACTCCCCAGTGGGAAAGCTTTGCTGCTTGTTTATTTATTAAAAGAACGCAATAGTGCCAATCTTGCTGGCTACAGCAGTATCTCACTGGCCTGCTTGGTGCTTTTCAGTCTCTATCTCATTAGTTTCRTAAGAAAATAGACAATTGCAAGCCCATGTCATCAGACATGATAGAACTGGAATCTCTTACAGCATTACTTTTTCCTAAAAGTCTGAACAGAGTAGATTTGCAGCTTCACTCACATTTCTCTCGTGTTCTCTGGCCAGCAGGCACTCCTGTATCTGCAATTTCAATCCATCGATTTCCTTTCTTGCTGTTTCTTCTTTCTCTGCTGCCTGGTTGTTCCTTGCTTCTATATCAGATTGCAACTGATGCATTTGCAGCAAGACAGCTTCATGGTCTGAGAAAGGAAAGGCTTGCTTAGTTATCAGTCTATGACTCAAAAAGGAGAGGCTAATTATTCTTCATAAATGAAGCAAGTTATGGTGACAGTAAATCCCAGACTCTTCACATTGCTCTGTCATGAAAAAAAAGAGACAATGGAGTGGTGAATTCATTTGATCTAACCTTGACTGAGTTGGTTTAGTTCTTCCTTCTTGTTTAGGAGCATGTCAGATTTTTCATGGATCAGCTGGTCCTTTTCCTTTACTACAGAAGTCAGATGTGAAACCTTGAAAGCAGTCAAACAAACAAACAAACAGGAGCCGTTAACAGGATAAAATTGGAACAGACCACAGAAGGATTTCAGTGTATGTCAGAGCTTCAGATTTATCTACTTTTTTTTGGAGGAACGGGAGAAGAATTCTCCTATCATAGCTAAGGCAGTGAGGCTGCCTGGGCTCTGTGCCAGGAACACACCTTGAAGTGGTCTGTGCGGCGCTRGCGCTAGATATGAAAACGCAGAAAACTCTGACCTATTTAGAGGCTCTCACAAGATATTACCTCCACAGTGCTGGCCTCATTAAAGGACAGGGATATCGACGTGCTGCCACTGCCGAGCACTGCTTCTGGTGAGCTCTGAGCCACTGCTGCCCACTGCCCGCAAGCGGCGGTGGCAGCTGCGAGAGCCACGGGGCAAAGCTGCATCACTCACGTTCTGCGGCCAGGGCAGCCAGCGCAGATCTCCAGCAGCTCCCGGCAAATAAAGAAACCAGAATATGGGACTGAATGTACCAACATTTGCTCAGTTGAGAGCAATAAGCTCAGTCTGAGCTTATCTGCTCATCTGATATCACCTGGTCTTCCTTCAAATGGTTTAAATCCAATTGTTACAACTTGCTGTAGTTCTTGAGCCTACAGCTTAGGAATTTCCCTAACTCTGCAGCTGGCAGCATTCTACATGCTCCCCCTGGGATAAATCACAGAAGCTGGTTACATTCTTGTGTAGACCCTTACAGAGCCACCCTTAACTGCTGCTGTCTTGAATGCTGAAAATAYAATTTTTATTCATGGGAGTATCATGGTAATTAATTCCAAATCTAGTCTCATCTGTGCAAGATTAAGACACCCTAACATATTTTACATCATGTCAATATTAACTAACCTGCTGTTGCAATTCTTCTTTTTGTTTTCGTGTTTCTTCTAATGCTTTGGCAATTTCAACACTGACAGTCTCTCTGCTGCTTAATTCCTTCTGCAAATCAAACATAATTCAGAGCTCACTTAAGAAAACTAAAATCCATGGTCTCTCATCTTTAAGACCGAAATCGTTATCAAGCAGAATACACAGGTTTACTAACACATCGTGATTTAAGCTTCCAAATGAGACTTAGTACTAAGCTTTTACCAATGTTAATTTGAAGTTCACAGTCAGCTAATATTGCTTAAAACTTGACATAAACCTAAGCTGTTATATTCAAGCTGGACAACTGCTAAAATAATTACTTTTCATTTCTCTATTATTCAAGCTATTATGATACATCTCGCTCTTGAAGGAGCTGTTTCTCAGTGGTAGGCAACGAAACCCTAATATTAATTTTAGAAAAATCAGTATTCCATTTAAGCAGTAATCCTTTAATTTATTTATGCAATCTGCACATGTAAAAGTAGCACAGAAATTGTACAGAAGCAGCTAAACACAACCAACACTTCAAAAAAAAAAATCTCCTTTTAACTTAAAGTCCTTATCACAAAGTGTCTCCTTCCTAAAACTGACCTTTAGATCCATTTACATTACAGTTGTATTTGCAGAACTTTCAGCAGTCTAAAATTATATTTAAAAAAGTATATATATGGAGTGTGAAATGATTGGAATGTGATGAACTCTTATTCTGTTCTCATTGCTGCTAATAGGATTCAAAAGATCTTCATGCCTGACCATATGAAAATATATATTTTCGGTCTAATTTCGGTAGATCCAAGCACTCTATTTTAAGAAAGGACCAGCTATTTGTAACGATCCTTGAATGCAAATCAAGTGTCACAGAAGATTTATGTACAACCTAAGTACAACCTGAATCTAACACAATTTTAAGTACTGAGAATAGAATACACTTTGTCATTACCCGTTTCTCAAACCAAGCCCCAAATTTAACCAGTCACTAGCCAATCAAGCTCTTACCTTTAATCTATCCAGTTCCAACTCTTGACTTTTTAAAGAACATTCATATCCTTCTCTAGTTTTATTAAGAACTTCATTTTCCTTTTCTAACTGGCTCTGCAAAATAAAGTTGGCTTAAGTTGGATTTAATTTCTAAGCACAAGTATTATTATGCTTTCCTTAAACAATGAACACATCCAGTGAGTTGCTTTGTTCATATTCAGTGTCTCAAAGTATTAGATATTTTGTTATGTTAGTAGCTCTAAGCRCAGTAGATCTACAACTTATTTCAAAATCACTTACTTCATGAAGACTCAAATGCCCCACTGAACACCGTCAGTACTTACCAGCCTGTGCTGAGTGGCTGTTTTATCAGCTTCCCAAGCTGTTTTAAGAGTAGTTATTTGAGACTCCAGCCCAGAAATTTTCTCTTCATATTGATGTTTCACATTTAAAATCTGTTGCTGCATTTTACTTCTTTCATTCTCTAGATCATTTTGCTGATGGAAAATAAACAACACCAAGTTAATAAGACAGTATTTTTAAKCTCTGATGCAAACTGGACACCACTTCACATTACACACATCCAAACTGAAATAACACGGTATTTCTGTGGCAGCAGTGTTATGTATTCAAATACAGACATTGGAGTAGGAGACATGCAGCAAGAAAACATAGGGAATTGAGCGTCATCGGAGAAGCTGAACAATCTGGTACTGGTCAGTGAAACACCATGCAGAGAACTCACCAACATCTGGATCCGCAGATCCTGCTCACCAGCTTCTTCCTTGCTCTTCTTTAATGCTTCTGTTGTAATCTGCAGATTTTGCTCCAGTTCTTTTTTCTAAAATAAAATCATATACCAACTTCCKTATCTGCGGGCATCTACGCGCGCATGCAGAACATAGTATGACTCCTTGAAACTACATAATTAGGCAGCCCTCCTGAATTGACAAATGCATCTTTTTCCAAAAACTCCATAAATTCTCTCTCCTCCCCTAAACAATGCCTGTATTTCAGCTATAGGGAAAGCAGAAATGAAATCCATAACTTCATAATCAGTATCACTTCTCCATTCCTTAAGGAGAGATCAGCACCATAGACAATGTTGGACTTTACTTTCAAGAATAAATACGCCACGTAGGCTCACCTTTTGGTTGAGAGCMAAAGAGTAGTGAGGGAAGGAGGTACAACACATAAAGCTGAAAACAATAGCAATTTGTAGTAAATTGATAGATACATACTTGTGTTTCCAGTAGGTTCACAGTCTCAGCATGATGAGTTCTGTCTGYTAGTAAGTGCTGCCTGGATTCATCCAGTTTCTGCTCAAGAGTAGTTTTCTGCAGATTGTATTGGAGAGAAGAATGTGATCTTGGACAAAGATTATTTTACTTTAAAGCCAAGTTTATGTACAGCACCAACATCAGGTTGGCAGACCTCACAGGAAGCCAACCCAGGAAAGGGCTCAGCTCCCCAACAACTGGCTAAGGAAATATTGCTCCAAGCTGACTCTAAACAGGAGCATCATGTTGGAGAAAGAGAACTGAGAAAGACTACTGGCAAAAAAACATTCCTTCAGCTTGCAGCTGCTTCTCTAGATTTCTGAAGGCCCAAGCTTTGAATATRGAGCATTGTTTGTATACTTCCATGCAAAAATTGTTCCCCTTCCCCTCCTCATGCTTTGCAAGTTATGTTAGCAGAAAATCAACAAGGAAAACCTTTACAAACATTAACCAATAAAACTTTCACGTTGTTCTACCTCCCATGAGCAAATCCGTGGAAAAAGCTGTTCTTCCCTTTCTAAACAGGAAAATACAGTGAAGGATCTAAATACCAGATGCAGAAAGACCAATGCAGGCACCTGTGCAATAGGTACATATAAGGGCTCAACATAGTGGCCTACACAGTTCTGCCTCACAGGCAGCAGGACAAGAGACGCTGCAGGGTAAATGTGCACGTGTTACCTCATCACACACTCCTTCCGTGGGTAATAAGCAACTCATGTTCTATAAGTTCTCCTTAAGAYTGCACTGTTAAGTAGTCTATTAAAGTAAAATTACCTCCTTGAGAAGTTCCTGCATGTGTTCATCCCCCGAAAGATTTCTTTCTAACTTATTTTCCAAAGAAGAAACTTTTTCCTGAAGCTGTTTAATAAGTTTGTTTTTCTCATCATATTCAAGAGTCATCTGTTGGAACAAGAAATCACATGATCTTTGTAGACAAGCTTTTATCTAATCCATTTTGGTTCAAGTTGAAAAAGTGTCATTAGAAAAGTCCTACCTGAAAAGACAATATAATTCTGAAATACTTTATATATTAGATGTTTTACTTCAAACCCTCTGTACAGTACTCAAATACACACCCTTGTATGAGTCAATACCAGATGCACCTGAAAACACTTATTCTGCCTAATATATMAAGAACTTATTAAACCCTTAGTTCTCTCAGCTTCAAATAAAGAGTGAGGTATGAGCACATCTTCAATATATTTGTATTTTTACTTTGACCAAGTTCTCTAGAAAACCACTGATACATTCACAGACATGGCTCTGGAAACTAAAACTAGATCAAATGAAGTCTTTCAGATCATGTAATCTAAATAGTGAAGTACCTTTTGCTTGCATTGCTCATATTCCACCTTCAGAGATTCATGCTCCACCTGCAGCATTTCCAGTCTCTTCTCACAACCAGAACCAGCAACTCGAGCCTAAAAATTTAGAAAAATTACTTGCTTTGAAGCTCAGATTTCCAAAACCATATARTTAATATCTAATCCTACTTCTGTGGACAGGGAGGTCTTTGAATCAAACCCCATTTATCTCAAACTTACATTTTGCAAGTCTACAGAGAGCTGCTGAATGACAGTTTGTAGCTCCTGTTCTCTTAACTCCAGAGCAGTGATCTTATTTTCTGCATTTATCTCAGCTGTCATTAGTTCATCTCTTCACAGAGAAAGAATAAAAAAAATAAAAATAACATAGTGTGCCAGAAAAATAATCTTTAAAGATGATTTTGCTTCTTATGAAAACAGACCAAACAACATCAGAAGGACTTTTTTGGCCTGTAAACAGCCACTGTCTTGATTATACATTTTACCCAAAAAGGGTTAAGCATTAGGTACTACAGAACTCCAAACTACRAAAAAAAAATCATTATCATAAGCTTATAAAATCCTAAACAGTTATTACTTCAATTAGCTTGAATAAATAMATATGTGGTATGTACTSCCACATGATAAAAATGATTATASAGCTTACTGCATATATAAACTGCATATATAAAAAGGACACRAATTGGAAAATAAGTAAAACTACATAGGGAATAAATACACTGCTCCTCACAACCCATCACATTCATACCTCTGTGCCTCTAGCTCCAGGAACTGTTGCTGCAGCTCTTGAAGATCTTTTCTTAGGCCTGATGACTCCTTGTTTGTATCCTGAAGCAGCTCTTTAGTATAAGTTAGTTCTCGAGYGCATGCCTCTAGTTCCTGCTCCGCTTTGTTCAGAGATTCTTCCTTTTTCAAAAGCTGAATATTAGAACATTATCTTTGACAATACAGATGACCCAGTAATAGTGATAAGGAATTCTCATTTAGATTTATTTCCTTTATTAAGTTATAAGCTTTAGCTAAATGAAGTATCTCCTAAAAATTGCAGTGTTGAAATAGTCTATGCAACACCGTGTGTGTTCATACTGGTAGGATATCAATGCTGAGCATGTCTGCACTTAAATATCAAGGCTGAAGCCCGTTGCAAGGCTGCAATGGTACTACTAACTAGATATATTAAGAGATATTTTTAAAGTCTTTTTTTTTTTTTTTAAATAATCTTACCATATGTTTAACTTTGGCCATCTCCTGCTGCTGAAAGCCTTCCAGTTCATCAATTTCATCCCTCTTCTGAAAAAGGTTTAAACTCTGCTTGCTTATTTCTTGCAACTGTCTCTCAAGTATTCTTTTTTCCTGATTTAAAAAAAACAAAATGACAATAGCAAGATRCTTAATGTCTTCAAAATCGAAAATATTTTAAAGAGATTGAGCTAAAAAGCTGCAAAAACAGCAGCAAGACTGAGTTCATTTTCTTAAACAAATAAATAAACAAACAAAATAGGTTTGCTTCTGTTAGGAAATAGGTATCTTACTGCCAAGACCYCAGAATACGGCACCACCTCTTTCTGCATTCCAGATGCCCCTCTACAAGACAGTAAACTACTCTTCCCTCTTCTGGTATCACAACATCTTTCTCACTGCAACCCATCATTCTTGACTTCCCCACTCAAAACTAATTCCAGGAGCACCTTCTGAAGTCACAGGGCTGACAATGAAAGCTCTTTGGCTTCAGTCATTGAACAAAGCTCAAATAACTAAAAGGGCTGAATAGAGGTGAGTTCCAGTAAGTATACTGATCAGTGTTTAAAAATACAAAAATTGGAGCTTAATTACCTTTTCAATTTGACCCATTTTTTCCATCCACTCCTGATAGAGAAAGAAAAAGTATAAGAAAAATATCAAAATCCATCTAAAGATTTTAAAGACTGTAGTTATGATAAAAAAAAAAAAAGAAAATTGTACTGTTAACAGAAATGTTAAACTACAGTAATGATTAAAAAGGAACGACTAAAATAAAAATAAAAGGATTTAAATACAGAAAAGCTGAGGAATCATTTATATTACTTGAATGCGTAAGCTCTATGCAAGTAAAATAAAAATGACAACTGTTCTCCTGCAAAGGAATCTTACCAAATACAAAGGTGAGCTTAACTTGACATTAGAGTCTTCCGAAGGCTTTTTAAAATCATGAAGAACAATCAGACTAATGTTAAGCCCTACAACATTTTTATATGATTTTCCTTTGACTTCAGCAAAGCGAGCAGGGCAACTACACCAAAATCAAGCACTCCAGAGCTGATAAAAAGTCCAGTTGCTCAAGCTGAAATTATTACCTGGTCTTTTTTTTCTAAGGCCAAAGCCATTCCCTCAGCCATCTTGGCTCGGTTGGCTTGGTGAGCTTCATTCTGCTCCTGAAACTTCCTCATGGAGGCTGCCAAAAAGAATCACCAGCTTTATTACAAACTCATCTTTTCAATCACTTCTCAATTCCTTGTATGTTATTTATAACTTTAAAGAGCTTCTTATCCAAGTAATTAGCCTCACTGTGGCTCTCTAGCACTGTTCCTGTGCCATTTTTTAATATCACACTGCACATTTGCTTGCCAGAAAAAAGAYATGAGTACCATTCATTACCAGACTGTAATAATGCTAAAGGTTTTTAAAGAAAAAAAAAAAAAAAATCTATCCCCCAACTTAACCACAAACTTGCCTAGAGGTACACAGTTTGAAAGAAAACTGTCTAAAAAAAAAAAATCTGTATCAACTCATTTCTTTCCATCTGCACTTAAATTATAACAATTTTCAACTCAATAAAATATATTAACAAAAAAAAGTACATACAATCCTGATGCTTTTCTAATGCATTTTCAAGCTTCTCTTTTATCTTCTGCAAGTTTCGGATCTGATCAGCATAATCTTGTGTGAGGAGGGAGAGGCACAGACCAGGAATGGACAGACATTGGGGAAGGACATAAGAAAAAAAAAAAAGAAAAAAAAAGAAAACAGATGAGTGGGAAACAACAATGATTTTCTTAACCAGAAAATCATTTCTGTTGAGAAAAACTTAGATGACTGTAAGAATGAAGACAAGCAAGTCCTGCCTATGCTGTCCATAGGGAATATGGTTGGCACAAACAGAAGGACCTGACTTAGGYGGGCTAGTTACACAAAGAAAGGCAGTAGACCTGGTAACAGACAACAGAAACTATTCCCACATTTTACTTCATTCAAGAAGAGCAACCTAATTTTAATTCTGTTTAGAGAATGTCTCTGTTAGGAGTGAGTGAGAAGGGAATTCAGAGAAGCTTGTACTTCTGCTCCATAACACACTTCAACCCAGACTCRGATCCGCTCCACGCAACAGGGATGGAAAGCAGTGTCGGAACAGAGTCCTTACTAGACTTCTGCAGGACTAGGTATGATTACTGAAAGAAAAAACTGTTACCACATTGTTTTATRCAAAATCCTTTGCTTTTTCTTCATTTGGGAGTTTATCTTTTTGTGGAGTGTTTCTGTCAACATGAAAAAGCATAGATCTTAACAGAAGGGAACTTGTACGTGCTCTAAGTAACAAAAAATGGAGAGGAAAGGAAGATAACATCTAGTGAAGACTCTTTCTGTTTGAAACACSGGGACAGAAAGCTATCCCAGTTGTTCAAAAGAATCACAAAAATGTTGCCAAGAAATGAGAAGAATCAGTCACTATACAGTTTTAGCTTTACTGGAAGCTACTTAGATGRCAAGCAAACGTGCTATTACAAATTAAAAGTTTTCTTAAAATAAATAAATTGAAGCATTTAAGTTCAAAAGAAGAATATTCCCTAAAATAATAAGGTTTCATACAAGTCAAGACACATACCCGACAGTTTGACCTCCAGTTTTCTTATCTGTTCATTTCTTCTCAACAGCTGGGATGAAAGATCCTCTCTAGAGCTGCTTCCATCAGAAGCCTCAATGGAAAAATAAAACCCATGTAAATTACAAAACTTAGGAAAAAAAATGATGTTGTCATATACTAACTTTGAAGATAATGAACACTGTCCCACCTAGGAATGAAGCTTTTGTTTTTCACAAGGGGATAGCTGTAATAGCACAGCAGAATGTGTACAATATGCTGAAGAAGAGAGAGTAAGGGCTTAAATGGCCAGTTCTCTAATTAGGGCCTGTTCCATGAAATATAAGGCTTTTAAAACCTATAGCTGCAAAGTGTTTCTTCAAACTGACCACTGAAGAGATGGCAAATCAGAATGACCAGGAAAAGCAAAAAAAAAAAAAAAAAAAAACAGGTTATACAGATTTGGGGATTGGTCCTGGTGACAGGAATCATTTTGGAAAACCAAGTAACTAGAAGGAGGAAAAGTTGAATAAACTCCCTTGAGTGCTCATGCAATAGTCACTCCGTGCAAAATCCGCTGCATAGCTAATGGATTATTCTCTACATTTTTTTTCTCTTCTCTATAAAAACCAACACTGAGATCAAGTAAATGGGGACTGCTATTAAAAAAAAAAAAAAAAGTCTCGAATGCAGAGGTGACACGCTTACGYGTATATACACGAATATAGACACACGCACATTATATGTGTGCCAGTGGAACAGAACCACAGAGGCGCCCGCTGCCCCACAGCGGGGCGCAGCTCTGGCCCCTCCAGTGACGCTGCGCTGCAGCCGAGCCCAGAAGCAGGCCGGCCCGCCAGGCGCAGGGGTGCCAGCGGCGCGGGCGTCCCTTCACCCGGGCGCGGCTGTAATTGCGCCGCTTGCCTAAACAGCGCTTCAGAGCGAATCGGAGTTTAGATGAGGCGCCAGAGRAGCCGCGAGCCTGGCCTGATCGCCACAGAACAGAACGCGCCTTGGCGGCGGTTAGGTGAACGCGCCAAGCAGTGAGTGCTGGGCACGGGACAGGCCCGGCTCCCCCTGCCCTGCCGCGCACACCGACACGCCGCCGCGCCCGCTCCCCGCCAACGGCCGCGCGGCCCGTGCCCGCCGCCGCGAACTCACGAAGTCATCCCCGGAGTCGGCTCCCAGCGACGCCACCGACTCCTTGCTGAGGGAGCGCGCGATGCGGGCGGCAGCGCCCGGGCGCGGCGCGGTGGCCGCCGCCTCCTCCGCGATCTTCTTCTTCAGCTTGGCGAACATCGCCGTGCTCCGCGGCGCCGCGCTCCCGGAAAGCGGCGGCCCGGCCCGCGCGGCCTCAGCGCCCGCCCCGCTCCGCCGCG